CGGAACGCGTTCGGGGCATTACTGCACCCTGGAGGTTCATAAAAGAATCAAGAAAAAAACGCCGCGCAAAAAATATGAGCGTAAAAACTTGCATCAGCCAACACAACAACAGGAAGCACACTGTAGAGAGGAGAGTATGAAAACATCTTGAGGGATCAAAGGTTTTTGTTCGGAGGAGGGCAAGCACAGTGGAGAAGATTAAGAGCATAATGTGGACTAAAGCGCGGAACAATGCGTTTGTTTGGGGTGATGTGGCCAAACTCGACAGGTAACAGGTAAATTACCCGTATATCTGCCGCACGAACCAACTCGACTGCGCTGGTGGTAGTGATGCGGCGCGAGGAAATGAAAAGCGGCCCGAATCGACCCCGCGCGCCGCCACCACCGCCGCCGCCGACAGCAAGTCACCGTGAACAAATCGGTAATGCGTATCGACAATAGTTGCAATTTAAAATCCAATTTCAGCGTTCCAAAGCACACGCCTCGCGCCGGGCGTCCTGCGGGAAACCGCATTTTCTAATGTTTAAACTAGCGCTTTGTTCGGCCGCATGCAAAACCTGCCGGCGACACAAATGCTGATGTAAAACACATGCCGTTTAAAGGCGCGCGCGCCCGCTTATTAATCTCACGCGTCAGCCAGCGCGACTAGTGAACAACCCCGCAAACCACATGTGCCATTCGAACGAAATCGCTTCCACAATAAAAAGGAGATTCAAAGCACCTGTTTGTGACACGCATTCGATGCTGGCTGGCGCGCCGAGAGAAGTTCAATGTAGATCGGAGCGAGGCCAACTGGAATTGGCTACGTATACACACACCGCCTGCCAGACAACCACCCTCGAGATATGCATATATGAAGCGTATTATGTGCGCTTGAAATGCATCCCCCATGCTATTCGGGAAGAAGGGTCGGGTTTTTTTTTCGCTCGGCGCGCATAGCAGTCGAAGGCGCATAATACTTATAAATGCATTTAATATCAGGAAACGTCGGAGCCGACAGGTCGAAGAGGTCGGGGAGGAAGCAAATTTTCCCAGAGCCCGCTGAAATCAATCCTCAACACCCCCTCAGTTCACCTTGCGTTTTTTTTGTGTGTTTTGTTTCATTTTGTTTCGCTTTGTTCTTCTCTCCACTCTACAACAGGGCAAGAACTCAACCAGGCTTAGAAGTTAATTTCGGTCGGGTTTTAAAGTTTTACAATGCGCCGCCCCACGAGGATCGCGCGCGAGCGGCGGTTAGATTCGATTACGAAATATGAGGGGAATCGAATTAATTATCAATTCATAGCTTACGCCCGATAGGCGAGCGCAAACAGGCGCATTGGGCGTATTGTGTCGGATGATGGTCGGGATGCGTTCGAGCAAACGTAATGAAATTGTGATTTATTCATTTCCACGCAAGTCAGCGCGCAATTTGAATATATATGCCGCGGCGGTTCTTGGCGGCTGCATGCGGTTATGAGCCGCACGTACCACAATATATAATGTTGGGCATGTTGGAAAATATACGATTGCCGCGCCACAGATTGGAAAACAATGTGGCACATCACACGTACCCCGCGGAAGTGGTCGCAATCGACTCACCTAAGTCCCCGTATTCCATTGGGATGTGATGGAAGTTACGAATATAAATTCGCTGGGGGGTGGCCGGTGTCGTGAAATTAAATGATTCCTTCTCAGCATATGAAAAATTTACACGTCAATAGATTGTTTCAATTTATGTTGCCAATAAGCACCCCCCAGATTTCGTCAGGGGAGCGCTGCCGCCGCACGGAAACATATTTCACCCCCGGGCGGGTACAACCTGCAATGGCAAACTATACATTTATCATTGTAATTCCGTTACTTTTCTTTGTCTAGCACCGCCAGTTACGGCAACCATCAAGAATGATAGGGTAACATTAAAGGCGGACCACCCCCGACGATACAAAGCACGGATTGTCTTCAGCTTTATCAATTATGCCTCGCATATGCGGGGGTGGAATTCGCCGGAGCTAACCCTGTCGGGTCCGTTCAGCTCAAATAGTAATTACGAAGATTATCCACAAAAATCACCATCAAAGGATGTTTCCTCGCCGCCACCGCCCGTAAAAAAAACCCAAGCGCATTTTGAAAATTACTTTTCTCGCTCGGGTGAATCGATCGGATGCGTTTCTAAAACTATTTCCTTTTTCCCCCGCCGTGCATGCAGACGTATGCAGTCGTATGAAAAATCCACTCGAGTGTCTGATTAAAGGGCGCGAACACATCACACGAGGGGAGCAGCAGCACGCCGAGTTTACCGGGTCTATTGGAATTGCTGCTTCCTTTTACTTATTACAATGTTGTTACAGATGTGTCGACAAGTGCAATGAAAACAGGAAACTAACGCGGCTGGAGGGGTGTGCGAATCACAGAAACGAAGAAAGAAAAAAACAACCGTGTGGAAGGAAAGACGTTGCTTAGAAAAGCGGATAAGTGGAAAGCAGACGATGTGAGAAAGGAAGCGCGCCCTGGACGGAAACTCAAGTGAGACTTTGTAATACCCATTAAAATCACGAGTACGAAATACGAGACGACTACAAATCGTAATTCTTTTTTGCAATTTCAAAAATCGATAGCGTGTTTCAACAGTACATAATGCACTATGAGATTTTCCTTGTGCGATGTGTGGGCGTAAACTTCCCCGGCGTTATGCTATCCCAGCGAGTAATCATCAATTTTTAAATCCGTCTTGTGCAAAACCAGAAAAACGAAAAAAGACATTCAATAGCGCTGAAAACGAATCGTGTAAACGTAGAAGCGCAATGGGGTGAATCCTATAGGTGCGTAGGTAGAACGCCGAACAAAGTGTTATGTCGAATATTTTGCGAGTGTAACCCGAGACGAGTTCTTTGGTGTTGCAAGTGCGGAAGAGGATGTTCTCCGGCGAAACAAGTGAATCTCGGAGACTTACCGAATTGCATTCGTTATAATCTCGTACACAAGCTTTGCGCATGCTGCACAACCGCGCCCGTGTTGGCGGAGGCGGCTTTTTGCGAACGTTTACATTTGCGTGTTCGCTTTGACGCCGCCGCAGTCCGAGTGGTTGCTAAGCATCGCCGCCGCGGAACGCAAAAAGCGGCAAAAGCGCCAGCCGAAGGCAAAAAGTTTGGGGAATGTGAAGCGCATCGCTCGCCCACATTTACATATCGCGAGGTAAAGAGTCGGAAAACTGCGCGAAACACAAGAAGACGCGCAAAAAAGGCCCGGCCCGGCGCAAGATTCCTATTTTGTTGCGCTTTGATTCTGCATTGGCGTAATTTTATCGCTGGAGAATGTGCTCCACATTTCCAAGCGCGCGCGCATGATGCGGTTTGCCTCGGACGACACAAACTTTGTGGTATTCAAATTACGATTTCAATTGCAAATCCACTAAAGTTTCGCTGTCTGGGGCCAAAGAAATAGCTTAAGAAACATTGCGCGCTCGGATAACGCAAGCGCAGAAATCAAACTAAATGGGAATATAAGTGTTTGAAGGCGGATAGAAAAGAGTTGTCTAACTCGCGTACATTGCAATAAAATTTGAATTGTAAACGCGACAAGCACACAAAGCAGAAATGCGTATTCAGCAGCAGCAAACAAGAGTGAAATTTTATTATTTGAATTTTTCTACAAAGGAATACATTCCGCCGAAATGTCGCCGGGCGTAATTACAACCTGGGCGATATTTATTTTCTCAGCGACATTGCAATTACATGAAATGTGAGTCTAATTTGTCAAAGCAACCTGGAAATTACAATGATTCGCTTTTGGACGCATTTAATTGTAAACAAATTATAATTGCTTTCACTTTTTTTCTTCACTTTTTGTGACTTTCGCCGTTATTTGTCGCTAACCATAGATTGGAAGCTGAGAAGGTGAGGAAAATCACATTATTTCACCTGAGAAATATCGAGTTGCTCGGCGTTGCGCAACATCGCCGGTCATTTATTAAATGCACGTGCAAACGTCTTCCTTCCGCGATTAAACCACTGGTGACAGCGGTGTGCAAATCAAACTCGTAATAATTTACAGCATTTGCAATGGAGATAAACACGTGCATGTGAAAATTAAGCCGCTGTTGTAATAATCTGCTCCTGGAACTCGTCGTCGCATCGCGGATTGCGATGCACAGGTGCAGTGTCACAAACAAAATCAACGCAAGCAAAGAGACAAAAGAAATTCTTTTGAATCCCGAACGCAAAATAAGCGTACAAATTCGTCCTATTAGTCTTCGGGCCTTTAATCCGCAACGCGCGCGCGATAGTAGCTAGTAATTAGTGCGCCTTCTTTTATAATAAGACCGCTCGTTTGGTCGTTTAGCGACAATTGCTCTTAATTAACCGTTTCCATTGCGATTCGCCCCGACCGTTTGCGCAGGGATTGCGAAAGCGGGCGTGCAGTCGGCTGCGTTTTTCTCCCGTAGATATCTAAGCGCGCTAACAATTCCGCCGAATGCTGCATAACACCGCTGCTGCAGCAGCAGCTTCGCCGTGTTTTCCCGGTGCAAAAAGTGCTAATGAGCGTGACATATTTCTGACCGTGCGCTGCGCATTCGCAAGAAATTGCGATCGCGATGCGTGCTGGGTTGTGCAACGAGTTCGTCATTATTTCGACTTCGTACAGGAGCGCATAGCAGAAATTGTGCGTTGTAAAAACTAATTCATGACGATTTTTTTTTTCTTTCAAATTTATCTAGCGTAGCAGAAAGTTTATGTCGGTCATGCGTTGTAGACAGTAAAACGTGTTTGCGCCAGCGTTTTGTTAATTCGTCCACATTTACCTTAACTAGGCATTAATAATTGTGTCGCCTTGCCGACACAGCGTTGATTAGTTAAGTTGATTAGTCGACAATGTGTTTTCTGTGCGGGCATGGAAAAAAAGTGCCGCGGTGGATGTTAAGCGTTTCACCGATTAAAACCGTTGACACGTCGTCGTGAGCGCTCCGGTCCGCGTCCGTTGTGGCTTATGATTAAAACTAATTTAATAAATTGTGTCAAAGACCTGCGCTCTGCTCTTCGCGACTTTCCAGCAGAAATGCGGCGAACGTGGCTAATCATTTTCGTGGTGTTAAATGGTGAGTATACGCGCCGTGTCGTTAGGACAACATTACACAATTTCGCACCCGGCTGGAATTGTTTCATAACTCATCTGTTTGTCTTACGTAGTGTACACAGCGGCGAACGGGACCAGCAACGACATTGTTGGCACGATGCGCTGCCGGCTTCTGTGCGAAGAGGCCGGCGGTTATGGCGCTCAGCTCGACACCCAGGCGTTCTGCAGGTGCAGCATTTTGAAGAAGCTGAGCGGTAATGACCTATGACACTTGCTGTTTACAATTCGTCCACAAATTACACTCGATTTGCATTTGCAGACAAGCAACAGTTAAGAGTCCAGGAGCTGAGCACTTACTATAATTTACCGGTAGTGTTCAAACGGGAGCACAGTCATTACAAAGTCAAGCGACAGTTAGATGAGAACTTGTTAGAAGATTGGCGTGCGAAGATGGACGATCACTGGGCCGAAACAGCAGAAAACTTAAAGGCGTGGAGAGAGCAGCAGGCGAGAGAAAATCCCCTTTGGGCAATATGGAGGAACAAGCGGAGAACTTGAAAGCATGGCATGAGCAACAAGCGAGAGAGAATCCGTTAATGACCGGTCTTGAAGAGCAGGCGGAAAATTTGAAGCAGTGGCATAAACAACACATCGAAGAAAATCCTCTGATTAGTGATTTGGAGGAGCATGCTGCTAATCTTCAGGCGTGGCACAATGACAACGTAGAAATGATCCAGGAGGGTCTCCAAGAACAGAAAGATAAAATCGAAGAACACATTGGTAATCTGAAAGAATTAGGAGATGCTAAGGTTGGAAGCATTGGACCACAGCTTGAAGAGCAAGCAAAACAGCTTAAAAACTTCCATGAAGAACATATAGAACCTCTTTTGGGTGCTCCTTTACCTTCGTTTGAAGAAAGTATGGATAAATTCAAACAGCTATGTAACAAACAGGAGGCTGAACCCATTTTAGGACAAATGGCTCCATCACTGACCACTTATGACTCCAAAGCAACTGGAATAGGTGGTAGTAATGTAAACTTCCCCCCACCAAACCATCCTAACCCTTTTATTCCACCATTAGCACATATTATCAGCGCTATCCCTTTTCCACGTTTTAATATCCCTGTTGGTTCCGGAGCCCCAGCAGTAGCACCTGCCCCTGCTCCAGTTTTCAGTTCCGGAGGAGCTGGTCCAATTGCCCCTTTCCCACGTCTCTTCTCCAGGTCATATGTAGCTCCATCACTCCCAGCAAACTACCCTGGACCTTACAACCCCAAGAACCCCATCGTTGTCCAACCAGTAATAATCCCTCGAGCAGATGCCGGCACACCCAAACCAATACTCTCCTCACTCAAAAACTCCGTTGATGACATGCTCGCTAAAATGAAGAAGAACGGTGGTCGCCTTGTCCCCGAAAACTACCTCAACTCAGACGCTCTTAGTAATTCCGAGAGTCAAGTGAATCAGATCAACGTCAACGTGCGGTTTGAACCCACGCCAACTCCACCCAACTTATACTCGTTCTTCATGCCGTGGGGAGGCAGGAATTGGCTGTCTGCCCCAGTGCCCAAGAACCTCGATGCGAACGGTGATGAAGTGACTGAAAATCCGGGCATTAACGAAGACTCCGACGAAGACACCAACGATAAAACACGCGACAATGACAATGACGAGGACGACGAAGACTTCGAAGAAGAACACCGTATGCAAAACCAGCTGAAAGATGCAGATAAAAGCAAGTTTAACGCGCACGTCGTCGACAGTGTCAAGAAGAACCTGTCGGGTAAAGGTAGCCGACCCACGCATGAAGAAAACGAAGAATTAGACGCTGCGAAGTATGGCAACGGTTTAATCGTGCAGCCCAAGCAGTTTATGCAGGATAGCGAAGAGGATTTACAAACTTTGGCGAAATAATGCCAACGGTTAACGATTGGGCTATTAATTTTGATATTAACCGATGCAAATGTATATGATATCGAAAGCAATTAAAAGTTTATATTCTTCGATTACAAATAAAAGTTATAAATTGTTGATATTTGCGCAAGTAAAGTTTCTAATTACCGACCAAACTTAATGAAAGAATTCCTTATGCAAGCGATGAGATTTTACGGTGGACCACACATGCTCTTCCACAATATTGAGGCTGTTTGCGTTAACTGCGGCGTATTAATTGAATCAATCCAAGTATTGCATATCTGCGTTTATCAGTTTCATGCCTGCTGCGCTTCCAGCCGCCCAAAGCGTATTACGCCGGCACGGAAAAAAATAACATAACTCGTGCGACTGCGGAAAAACTATACGGTAGCGAAATTGATATCACTGATAGTCACCATCTATCTTGTTTTTTGTTTTCGCGGAATAGCGTGCCATAGGCGTCGGCTTATTTTTCATCATAGCGTTCTGCGTTCATCACTTATCGCCAATACAGTCCAAGCCGGCCAGATATAAAGCCATCGTTTATCTTTTTTTCCTTCCGCTTGCTTCTAACACTGGCGTTATTTCCGAGATTTGATATTTTTTGTTTCGAACCGCGCGGAGCTCTAGCGAAGCGTGTCATGAATCTGGAGTCGAGCATATTGTCGCATCGTTTATTGCCGCGCAAAAAGACAACGCGCTCAAAAGTCGCACTCGTGCGCGCGCAAAAGGTACGAAAATAAAACGCGAGTGGGTACCGCCAGCGGGCGAAGAAAAAGGGCGCCCGAAGACGAATTAACGCGCTTGTTACGAGCCGTGTACGTGTCGAGTGTGCGTCCGCGCTGAAAAAGATACGATCAGCGCTGCGTAAACGGTCGTCGCTCGTCGTCGCGGTCAAAAACAAGCGAAAAAACAAAACCCGATTACGACTTTTAATGGGATATTAAAACCAGCTGCGTTTGCCGCGTGCCAGCGTGCGCTGACCGTTATGCTTGCCTTCACATCCACGGATGGGCCTCTCCTCTCTCGCGACGACCAGCATCTAACTTTCATGGTCGACTCTGTTCTTCGGACGCCACGATTGAAATTCATAAATATTAAAACTGCAGAGATTAATTTCGCCGATTGCATGCAGTGGTCGCACCGGAATGCGCGTCATTGCTGACCAGTGTCTGCGCGCGATACTTTTTCTGCGTCGTCGAGCAGAGAGAGTTTTATTTGAGTGCGACTTCAAAGCGAGAGGACTGCATAATAAAAGTGCACTTAAGTTCGTGCAGGTCCGACACCTTTTCATTACCCCTACCGAGGGTGACACATATACGAGTCGGCGAGGGGTGGGTAGATTGCGCCCATCAACACTCGCGTCGATACACCCTCAAAGGAACCGCCACCCGCGTAAACAGGCTTCGAGCGAAGCCCGTAATTTTCCAATACTCGATACACATGTACTAACAATACGTTTCCAACTCGCCCCAACGACGAAATCCCTCGTCGCCACGTGGAAATCACTATCATTTCGAACGCTACGAGCACAAGATCACATTGTTCGAGAGACTCGAGGGGTAATAATGCCAGTCGAGCGCTTTTTTATAGCGTTTTTCAGCTTTACACACCACCGATCATTTCGCTTCTCCGCAGTGGATTAGCAAATGCACCAGTATTAAATGTGGGATGTTCTCGGACCTAGAGTGTCATGGGATCCGTGGAACACATGTCGCATAATGCGCAATAAATAAAACAAAGACAAAAAAAACGCGCTGAGGGTTTACTAAAATCAGCTTATATGCACTAGTGTCATAATTTAAAATAAAACGATGGAGATTAAGCACACGATTGACTCGAGAGCAAAATGTGGCCAGATTGCCAAGACGAGAAAACATCATCACCCCAGTATCAAGTTGCAAGTGGATGTCACCCGAGAGGCCGGGATTTTGTACTTATGAGCTGCACACAGGAGTTCCTAGTAAGTGGGAAGTTATGACCGCACGTAGGTTATAAGCAAATAGTCGAAAAACCACATGTTGGGCCCGAAAAGCCGGCGCATGACAAAAAAAAAACACAAGCTCACTCTAGACTTAGTCTCTACCAAACCAACCGGAAACGAGTTTCGAGTTTTCTCAACGACAAGTGACCCGCTGATCTTTTCCCATAGTGTGCTTCGTTCACAGCGTCTAGCTTCCTGTGTACCGAAGGTGCAAGAGTTCAGTTAGCAAATGTGACTTTGGAGCTTTACTGTAATGCACTTGCGAACACCACAGCCGGGTCATTAGTACTCCGGCTGCAGAGGATAACATGTGTTCCGAACGTATCGATTTGTTCACCGTGAAAGTTTCATTTTTTCTTTTTGCGCAGGCATCATCAGAACCACCAGCTCCACGTCTGGCTGAAAATATATTTACGGAGTTATGTAGGGTGGTGTGTACACACTCGATATGTCGCTCCGTACCCAGTAATCTCAAATTTGTGGGAGAGTCAATAGATTATAGGTTATCGATGCAGTACGCGCTGCGACCTATACTCAGCGCACACACCCATATATAGGGGGTTTCCCTAGAGGTCACGTCACAACAACGCATCCAATATTCATGCGCTCGAAATCGAAAAGATACGGCCGGCGATTATAACATGGGATAAAAATCACGAGCGTTACCAACAAGTTCTCAGCGCGCGCGCGCGCGCGGGAATGGGCAGTTAAATTGAAACCCAATTTACTGCATCGAACACAACACCTCGGTTGTGTTGGGAGTTGTTGTTTTTTCTTCTCTCCGCCAACGTGGAACTAGTACAGATCTTCGTTGCTGGTGTGTCGAAGGAGGCATCGCTTGTAGCGATGAGTGCTAATGGAGAGCGCTAATAGCACGACGCGGAGGAGGTAAAGGGCAAGCAGTCCTCAGCGGCGAACGACGTGCTTCGATGCAATGCGCCGCTCTCGGTTTGATGGGTCTCGGCGATGGTGTGCTCTGGTTGTTGTACCTTGAGCGCGCAAACGCATCGATAACGTTTATCTGCACGTCTCGATCGAACATTTTATCCTCGCATGCTGCATCCTCGCAGGTTCGCCATCAATTATTTCCTGCGTCGTGCTTTGTGTTCGACCTTTTTCCCCGACCGCGTTTCTTTTTCTGCTCGACCGGAGCCCAACAATGATTCGCTGAGCAAACTTGACTCCAAGTTGTTGTACAATTTGGGGAATCGAATTATTTGCCCACAATACAAACAGTAGGTACGATTGTCCCCGGAGACCTGCGCCTTGAAGTTACTATGTTAATTTGTTGGTTGAAGCCGTACATGCGCGCATAAGTGTATGATAAACCATCTCGATGAAGAACAAGCGGCCGAATGTGGGTGAATGTCATTGTATTCATATTACGTCTTTATTTCTGACTGTTATTCATTCATTTCTTCGTTTGCATAGTTGCTTTTAATCAGCGACCAGCGCCAGAGCAAGAAATCGAGTGTGCGTGAACCGAAAGCCTGATTTACATATAGATTTACATCCAGCATTTCCATTTACATTCTCGCAGTCTTAAGTTTGAGCATTCGAATATTAAATTGAAATTCAAATTCGAGCCGGCGCGGAAAAATCCCAGGGCAAGCCGCACCGCTTTCGTTTGTTGCCGATACAATGGCATTCATGTGTAACCATTATCATAACGAAGACGACTGCATTAGCGCAATTCAATTGTGATCGCAGCGCGCCGGCGAGCAATCACGTCGTCGCGACATATCACCATAGGCTTATCAAGTTGGCGCGAGCCCGACATTTTTAGTGCTCAATCAAGGCGTAATTGAATACTCTCGCCTAGCAATTTATCATCTTCCATGTGCGTTTGCCCACCGCAGGCATAAATCAATGCAATGCAATTGCACCAACATTTACCATCCGCTCCAAAAATTCCTCCGCGCTTACAAACGCTTGCAAAAGTTAACTATTTAAAAACGTATTGATCAAATCTTATCAGTTGTGCGCGCGTCATAAATCTGCGGACAGAATTTGTAAATCATCGAAAAGCAGCGTACCACCAGCAGTAACTAAACCATAACAAAAGGAACAAAGAAAGCAGAACGAAAATGCCAATGCGACATAAATTTCGCAACCCCCCCAGCAGCCACGTTCGGCATTTTCACATGAAATTCAACTTTCATCGTTTGTATGCACATTTGTAGGATGCACCCGAGTCATCCGCATACAGGATCACCTCGTACTCATCAATATTTAACGAGGTCAATCAAGATTCTCGCCGGTTGGAGTTATACGACATCGGAGGCAGTGAAATGATTTCGGTTGTGATTTTATAGTCACCTGGGAGACTCCGGTGGATGCGAGTGATTATTCCGTTGTTATTGATTGAACGCCCTGTGTACGGATAGTATATCAATGGAAAAGGACGAACCCAAACATAGATCACACTCACACACATAAATCCTGCACATTAGTAACATCCGATTGCACATAAATAACTGCAGAAGTCCCATAGCAGTCCACTCATTTCGTAATACCATGTCAATGCGTCGCGCGTGGTGCATACCATGCGTGATGCATGGAAATACCACGGAAACAAGTGGACACGTGAAATTAACTGCTCAGCGCGCTGGGGATGCACGGGATGCACCCCAGCAGTGTCGAAACGATACCAATAACATAGATGAAGAGATTGGAAATAAAGTAGACGTAGACAGAACAAATCCGGAGGAAAAGGGGGAATGTATGCAGTGGGAAAACTGAATGCAGCATGCAACTGAGAGGAAACCGGACGTGTGCAAGCAGCAGCACGCTTCCCATTGTACCCGCTTCACGAACATGCGCCTATTAGGACTTAGGGTACTGATCCTCCGCCGAAAAACAACGATTAAAGAACAATCGCTAATAGGACAACATCGGAATCCAATTATACGCCCGCCACCAGAAAATTCGGCAATTAACATTCCCCTGGTTGACCCCGGCTTTGGCATCGATTGAAATCGTGCCCGCGCTGCGCTTCTTTCGCCCGTCGACCGTGTGCTTTTTGATTGACTGATAAATGCACGCGCGCTGAAGTCTTCTTTGCAGATCGCGGTGTGTCTCCCTCGAGCGTTCGCTTTGTATGCGCCCGCTGAATTCCCTCATTACCTTGTGGCC